ATATGCATAATCCATATATGCATAATCCATATTTATGCCATCTATATGAGTACAAATAAATTGCAAAGACTGATAGTATACTAACATCAGATGACTTGTATTCATCTTGAGTCATTGACAGAAGCTGTAAAAATCAATAGGACAGATTATTAATGAAGAAGCATAGCTCAAGCAGTAATAAGTTTAATAGATGCATGCATATTTGCTGATCCTCTCAACAGATCTGAATTAAGAAATTCAGTAAGAATTTTTAAAGAGTCAGCAGAATTGTATATTATGCCCAATAAAACAACATTCATTTTAGCATAATTATTGGTATAACTTTTATTTTTAAATGTCTTAATTCCAAATCAGAACTGAAGATGTTATACTGAAATTATATGTGATGGTCACGGGAATTCATCAATATGTTATTACAGTTAGTATCAAATGACTTTCCAATGAGACACTTAAAATTAAGGTTTTTAAAATGATTATTAGAATTTCTCCAAGTATAAAATCATTGTCAACAGAATTATTACACTAGGATAAAAATGTTATACCTACATTTCAAAGTATTAATAATATCATTGGAATTACTGAAAGAGCATTACATTTTCATCAACAGCATCTAATTACTGCCCTCCATCATTCAGCAAAAATTACTGATATATTCTGAAGCAGTAGATGAAGAGCTATAGAGATCATCAAAATGCACTCTAGTAATTTCTATTTGTTGAAAATTTGATAGATAATAATTACATAGGGCTAAAGGCTGCAGTCTTTTCTCAGGCAAAGCTCACGCTTGAAATCAATGGGAATTTTGCCTGAGAAAGGACTGTAAGATGTGACTTATAGAAGAAGAAAATGTTGTAACTACAGTATTTTGAAATTTGTTAAGAATACTCAAACTCATCTTCCTGCAACATATTGGCTTTGTCAAGATTACATTTGGCTTATAGAAGATGTATCTTTTGGACAAGAGAACATATTTTTCTACAAGTAATCAGCACCACATGTAGTGAAATATAGCAGAAGGCTTTTGTGTGTTTTTTTTGTTTGTTTGTTTTTTTTAAGAAAGCAAGCTTTGGGACCCATTTTTCAGTTTTTATTTATGAAAGTGGCTCTCTTGAGTTAGGCTGATAGGGTTGGGTCCTTGCTCTGTGACACGAAAGCAGTGTGTGAAGCACAATGATCCCACCACATTAATCAACTTTTACTGCCTTAGGCCTTGGCTACACTTACCGGCAAGTTCGACGGCTGGAAATCGGAACTTCTGGGTTCGACTTATCGCGTCCAGACCAGAAGCGCGAACGCGGACC